CCTGGGGTGCGAGCCCCTCGCCCCACTTCGCCTGCCTGCCCGTTCCCCTCCTGCTCCCTCGCCAGGATGTTGGTCCTACCAGATGGGCATCCCGCGGTCCCCACTGGCCCTACCCCCCTCCAGTGAGGCCTGGGGTCAGGGCTACAGCCTAGGAACTTTGGGGTGGGGAGAGAACCAGCACCCCCACAGCACCCACGTTCACAGTGCACAAAAGGTGGACGCTGCCCAGTGCCCGCCCACCAACGAGCGGACAGTGTGGCCCTCCGTGTGCTGGAGAGCTCCGGCCTCAGAGGAGGGGTCGTGACCCGGTGGCCTTGAGGGCGGCACAGCTGGTGTCCTGGGAGGACCCCCATACTGTAGCGCCTCGGAGAGCCAGAGCAGTGGGCGGGGCCGGGCGCGGGTGGGCGGGGCCAGGGGCGGGGCCTGCCGCAGGGGCGGGGCCGGTGCTGGTGGGCGGGGCCTGCCGCAGGGGGCGAGAATGTCAGTTTTGCGAGACTCGAGACTCCTCGAGCCAGGGATGGAGGCGTCCCCGAGCGCGAGATCCGCCCGAGAGCCCACCGGAAACGGCTGAGGGGGAAGTTTACGTCGCGTATTCTTACCTCGTTGGGGACGCGGGTCCTCCGGGCGGGGGCTGCCCAGGTGAGGCCTCTGTCCAGGTGGGAAGGACGGTGTCGAGCAGGGACGGGTGTCTGCAGGGCCCCAGCCCTGCCGTCTTCTACCTCGCTGATGGCTTTGCCCCAGCAGCGCCGAGACGCCCCGGGTGACCGCCGCTCTCCACTGGAGGACGCAGACCCGGGCCCCTCTGGCTTCCCCTCCAAGATGAGGCCCAGACGAGCCGGCCTCCCGGCCTCCGCAGCGCCCTCCTGCCCGCTGGGGGGCAGGCGGGGTGGGGGGCGTGGCCCTCCTGCCCCTGGGCGGCTGCTCCTGGGGGGCAGGCGGGGTAGGGGGCGTGGCCCCGAGGCACCTGCCCCGGGGCAGACAGGTGATGCTCTCTGTCCTCCTAGGACCTGAGCTCCTTCGCCATGCCGCTCCTGGACGGAGACCTGGACGCTTCGGAAAAGCATTCCTCCCGGAAGGTAAGGCCGCACCTCTGCAGGGACCAGGCCTCCGCTCTGTGCTGCCCCCAGGGCCCTGCCCCCCTTGGGCCCGGCTCCAGGGCGCCCGGAGCACCCCGCACTGGCTGGCCGGGGGCTCCTGGCAGAGGCCTGGGGCGCAGCCTTTCTGCTCCCTCCCCCCGCTGGCGGCCCTGAGGTGGGCACGACAGGAACAGCTGGTGCCCCGGCTCTCACAGGCCTCCCCCTGCGCCCCCTCCCTACCTCCCCTCCCCCTCCCTCCTGCACTTCCTCCATGTCCACGTTGCCTCCGCCGGGGGCCATGGCCTCAGTGGGCATTGGCCGCTCTGGGCCCGCTGTGGAGTTCACCCCTCTCTGCAGAGTGGGGTGACTGCTAAGAAAGGGGGGCCACACAGCCCACGACATGGAGGGGCGGGGTGGGGTGGGCAAGTTCCCTTGACCCCCGCGGGGGACTGGCCTCGGTGCCTCGGCAGGGGCAGGGCAGCGCCGGGGAGGCGCAGAGCCAGGCCCGCTCCGCTGGCCGCTGCCAGACCCCCAGCGCGAGGCCAGTCTGTGCTGGAGCGCTCTGGATCGAGCGCGTGGAGCTGGACACCCGCTTTGGGCCCGTGGGACACTGGCTCCCTGCGCACAGCAGTGGCCCCGGCACCGCCTGCAAGCACTCGGGGCGTCCCCAGGCCTCGCCCCATCCAGGTAGCCCGGGGCCGGCCGTGTCCCCCCTGGGCCTCTCCCCGGTCAAGAGCAGGAATTGTGGCTGCCTGAGGCCCCGGGCCGTCAGGTCTCCGCCTCAGGATCTTCTCTGAGCAGGGAAGGGCCAAGGGCTCGCTGCCCGGCGTCTCCACAGAGCCTCGCGCACGGGCCGTGCCGACTGGGAGGGTGGCCTCACCCGCCCGGTGACCCGCTGGGTGGACACCTGGACTCAGGAGGCCGTGGGTGGTTTCAGAGACTGGACACAGCCACAGACGCCGCAGGAGGGGCGCGAGGCCCGGACGGAGGCGCCTATGGTTCCCTGCTTGCGGTGTCCGCCGGCCACGGAGCCAGGGCTGGGCAGCGCGTGGGCGACGTGGCCCTCTCCTGGCCGCCCCGTCCCCACCGCCCAGCCCCTGCGGGCACCTGAGCTGTCCCTGCTGTCCCTTCCCCGGCAGGAGCCCGCATCCGACTGGCGTGAGGCCGGCCCTGTGGACAGCAGTTAGGCCGCTGCCACCCGAATGCTCCACGCTGCCCCTTCCCTCTGCCACACCCCGCCTCTGTCTGCAGCGTGAAGGAGCGCGGCTTGGATGCTGCCGCCTCTGGCCCCTTCTGAGGCCGCTGGCGGGAGGGGCTGCCCCTGGGGGGGATGGGCAGCGGGGCGGAGAACCAATCCATGCAGGCCAGCAGGCAGCTGTGAACCTGTGACCGCAGGCAGGACCACGTCGCCATCTCCTACTTATATTTAGCCACGTCCGCACCGCCCCAGGCCCATGACCCGGGGACTGCCCTCCTGGACTTGTGCAAATGCCCTGGGGTACCGTGTAACGCATATGCACCCCCTTTGTGGATGCTCTTGACAGCAGCGGGATGCCAGCCTGGCCCCCACCCCCCAGGAGCGGCTCTCCCCTGGACCCGGCATCCTTGAAGGAGCCCCAGCCCCAGCCCAGAGCGCCCTCTGGTGGCGGGGGAGTGCCGGGCTCCCTGCGGGCAGCAGGCCGTGCCTCCGAGGAGGTGCCACCCTCCCGCCAGCACGCCTGGATCTGCCAGGGCCGCGGCCCGCAGAAGACCCCACAAAGGCCTTGCCCTTGTGCCACGAGGGGGTCCCTGTGGACCCCCTGCTTCAGGGTGGGCCGGGGTGGCTGCAGGTTCTCGGCTCCTCTGCGGCGAGCTCGGCGGGAAGGGTAGCAGCTTAACCCCTGCGGGACCGCCCCGGAGGGACAGGTGCCCCGTCCGCTCAGACAGGTCGAGGCCCCCTCCCCACTTCACGGGTGAGCAGCCCAGGCCCACGGGGGCAAGCGGACCCTCAGGCTGTCGCCAGCTCCTGACCGCCGGGGGCCCCAGCACCGCCGTGTCGGCCCAGTCTGCAGTCGCCCATGCAGGGACCTCCCTGGTGGCGCAGGGGTCCAAGTCAGCACGATCAAGTTGCCACACACGAGTTCGATCCCCGGCCAGGGGGTGACCCCAGGACCTCTCCTGTCTCCCCGCTGCCCCCTCAGCAGGGATTTCGGTGGCCCCCCTGTTCTGCTCTGGGGAGTCCTCTCACCCCCGCACTTCTGACCTCCACCCCAGTTCCTGAGTGCATAGATAAGTAAAATAAATCTTTTCTAAAAAGTCGCCCACACAGCAGCCTCTGCGGCGCCACCTTCCGTCCTGACCTCTGTCACGGCCTGTCACTCTGAAGGCGGAGCGGGAAAGTCTGTTTCTAGCTATTACAGTTTTACCAAAAACATGTCTGTGGGAAGCAATTTTGCCATATGATGAATTGATTATAAGACCATTTGCCATTAAAAAGGAGGCGGACATCGGATCCAGCCACCCCACTCCTAGCATCTACCTGAAAGACATAAAACACTGACTCAAAGACGCCTGCACCCCATGTTCACTGCTGCTTTATTCACAGTTGGAAAGACCTGGAGACAGCCCAAATGCCCCAAGCGGATGACTGGGTTGAAAAGATGTGGACATAGACACAGTGGAATATTACTCAGCGATCAAAAAGACAAACTCGTGCCTTTGGCAGCCACATGGAGGGAGCTGGAAGGGATCACGATGAGTGAGATAAGCCAGGAAGAAAAGGAAAGCTACCGATGGCTTCACTCAGAGCATAAAGGACCAGGGGAGAAAATAACAAGAATAATGAACAGCCATAGGCCAGAGGCATTTTACGGGGTGGAGTGGGGGTGGGGTCAAAAATAGTGGGGGGGGCGAATGCACGGGACTGTGCTGACGCACAGGGTGATGTGACGGGGAGCCCCCGGGGACTGCAGCTGGGGTGGGAAAGGGCACAGAGTGATGTGAAAGTAAACTATTATTTTAAAGAGGGGTGCAATACACCAGAACCTCCAAAAGGACATCGCGGACATGAATAAATAATGAAACAAAGTGCAGAATGCTTGAGCGCAGAGACATCTGAGGCGCACTGGAGGCGGCCCCGGGGCGCCTTTCGGTCGCTCCCCTGTACCCTTCGGTTATTTTCACCTTGTCTCATGGAATTTGCCAGCGTGTGAAATCAGAGCGTGGAAAGCCAGAGAACGAGGTGAAGATGCCTCCAGGTCCCTCAGGCAGCCCCGGCCTCAAGGGCCCAGCCAGGCGGCGGAGACTCAGGGCGGGTGCAGGAAAGGCCGCCCTGGCCGGCGCCCTGCGGGCCTCAGGGACAGGCACTGGCGTGCTCCTCCAGGGGCGCAGGCCGCGATGGGACGGTGAGGTCTCGGGGTGAAGGCCAGAGACCGACCCCCGCAGGGTAAACGGGAGAGCTCCTCGCTGGCCTTCCCACCCTCCTGCCCAGCCAGTCCCGACCGGACTGGGCCGGGGCGCCCGCCCAGGCCGCCGGGGGCTGCCGCCGTCGGAGAGGCGCCCAGGTCATTTCCCAGGAGAGACGGGGGCAGCGACAGCCGGACGGGCCAGGCGGCATGCGGCTCCGAGTGACCCCTGCCCTGTCTCCGCAGGTGGACAGTGCCTTCAGCTCGGGCAGCCCCTCCAAGGGGCTCTTCTCCAGAGGCCCGCAGCACCGCCCCTCCAGCCCGGTGTCTGCGCCCGTGCGGCCCAGGACCAGCCCGGGCTCGCCCAAGACCGTGTCCCCGTTCTCCTACCAGGAGTCGCCGCCGCGCTCCCCGCGACGCATGAGCTTCAGCGGCATCTTCCGCTCCTCCTGCAAGGACTCCTCGCCCGGCTCCAACCCGTCTACCTCGCCCGGGGGCCTCCGGTTCTTCTCCCGCTCCAGAAAAAGTAAGACACTGACGCTCTCGCCTCAGGTGGGTGCGGGCGTGGCTCGGTCAGCCTCCGCGGGGCCGCGGCCAGGGCCCGGCGCTGCGCGCGCTCTGGGTCTGTTCTCCGAGGACGAGTCTCCCCGGCACTTGCACCCCAAGAGGGGGGCCAGGGGTTCCCGCAGACAGCCCAGCCTGCACTGGCCGGAGGACAGAGCTGTGGCGCCGAGGTCTGGCCCGTGTGCAGGGCCGGAGGGCCCAGGCCTGGCTCAGTCCCGCCGGCCCCGCCCGGGGCTCGGCCTTGGGGTCTTGGGCCTGTTTCCCAGGGGTCTCGGCTTCACGCAGGCCCCGGCAGCCTGGGCCTGAGGGCCGGACTGCGCCGCCTGCCCCGAGACCTGGACCAGCGCGGCGTTTCCGCCGAAGCGCGGGCGTCCCAGATGTCTCTGCTGTGCTGCTGGCACGGGGCCCAGGCGTCCTGCCCCCCTGCCCCGGCCGCCCCCACCCCCCACCCCACCCCCCCGCGTGCGCCCGCGAGTTTCTCCTCTGAGGACGACTCGGTTTGGACCGGCCGGCGTCCTCCGGTGCGACCTCACGCTGACTTGACCAGTCACATCTGCGGCTAAGCTACCTCCAAATAAGGTCATGTTCTGAGGTGCCTGGGAGGTCACGAGTTTGGGGGGCGCTCTCCAGCCCGCGCAGGAAATGCCAAGCACCTGGCTGGGGTGCCGGACGGGAGGCAGCCCGTTCCGGCCAGACCGGGCATGCGGGCGGGCCCAGGCGGGC